TCCAAGCATGTAGTTGCTGTTGTTTTTCAAATCATTAACACAGAGCTAAGATTTTTTACTTAACTCTGTACTCTTATTACTAGGTAACGGTACACCAGCTGACAACTTGAGAATCAGATCATGAAGTTCACAGTAATCCTTGGAAGTCTACCACCTTATGGTACCAATGTGTCATCAAGCTCCAAATAAAACTGTGAAGTCTGTCTAATCTTTTTTTAATGAGAGAGGTTCCATATTGCCAGGCCTACATAGAAGCCTTAAAAGGCCTGAAGACAGAGTAACAATAGCAAAAGAAACAAAGTAACTAGATTATGCAGATTTTAGGGCAAGAATTTCTTTATGCTAGTCCTGATGGTATTCCCTTCCCCCCTTACAAATAAAAGAACCAAAGACAGCAAGCACAGTGTTCCAAGCTTCTCCACCCTTGTAGACTCCTCACTCCATGACTGCTGATGAGACTACTAAATCTCAGTTGTGCCTTCATGAGGAAGAAAGGCGGTACTGAAGAAGTACATCTATTTGTACCACTCTGTACCTTTGATCTTGTCTATTTTCCCTCACTGTTCTGGAAGGTTCAATAACAAACTAAAGTGACTTTAACCAAGTATGAGATATCATTCTCCCTAATCTTTAAAACCTGGACCATACATCACAGTCTGGTTTTATCTCAATGTGTTTCACCAATACCACCTAAAAGCCCTACTGAACCTCCACATCTAGCCCCAAGTCTCATATCATAAAATACAACAGGGTACTGGTATTGAAGCAAAGCTCAGTTCACATAAAGGTAGGTGGTGGTGGTGTGCCGTGGAGTTGGTTCTGACTCATCGTGACCTTGTATATGGTTTCCAAGGCTGCAAATCTTTACGGGAGCAAAAGCCTCATCATTGTCTCATGAAGCGGCTGGTGGTTTTGAACTACTAACCTTGAGGTTACAGCCCAACATGTAACCCACAAGCTACCAGGAATCCTTAAATGTAGGAAGAGCACTCAAAGAAAAAGTAATCACAGGATACACCACTATCTCTGTTGTAAAATGTAGCAAAGATCGCTCCAGATCACCAAACTATTTTCTTTTTCTAAGGTGACACAGTTAGACGATCTATTTCCTTTGACATTAGGAATGACTCTGACTGAGTTTATAGCCAGTGGAATATAAACAGAAACACTGTATATTACTGCCATTCCTTGCCCAGAAAAACTTCCCATGAGCAATTCTCCATGATATTTCCCTCTCCCTTTTGGTTTGATGCAGGCATTTTAAGAGCCAAAGGTGGAAGAGTCTGGGTTCTTGAGTCATCAACTGGAGGAGTCATCCACTCATCAGGAACACCAGAAGCTGTTATGTTTAGCCACTGAGATATTCTTAAAAACTAGCTGATGAAAAATTTCCCATTTGATCAACTTGTATTACTTTGTTGTTGTTGATGAGTGCCGTGAAGTCGGTTCCAACCCATAGTGACCCTGTGTAGGGTTTCCAAAGAGTGACTGGTGAGTTTGAATTGCTGACCTTGTAGTTCAAACGGACCTAATGATGGAGTGTTTATCCTACAGCACTACACTGGGACACCAGTATTACCTTAACTAATGCATATTGCTAACTAAAACTGGACTTTTTTTTCTAAATAGTAACAATGAAAATACCTTGAGAAACAGAGCAGAAAGCCAAAACAAAATATATTTGAAAGTGCAAATATCATGGAGGTGAAGGAGAGGTGGCAAAGACTCTGAAGATTTAGGTAACAAAGTCTACAATGCATTCCAAGGAATCTGGTTCTGACTGAAAAACCAATGAAGGCTGAAATCTGAAATTATCAGCGTCAAAGACTTAAGACCTACAGTGGTGCTATAGGGTAAGCACTGGATGGCTAATTGAAAGGTCTACAGTTCAAACTCAACAGCTACTCCTTGGAAACTGTATACAGGATCACTATGAGTTAAGTCGATTCGACAGTACTTAACAACAAAAAGCCTGCAATGAGAATGCTTATTGGTTATTCTAATTATAGAAAGAATTATCTCTATGATAGATTTGAAAACCATAACTTCTTGTTGTTGTTAAGTACTATCGAGTTGGTTTGCAGTCTGGCACATTAATCCACAGTGCCACGCCAGGACTACACACCAAAATTAAAATTTACTGTCACCATTTTCAAATTAATACGTTCATGTAAAGATTATACTTATATATGTATTTGTTTATTTAAGATTTATACTACTTGTTAAGGAGCTCTGGTAGCGTAGTGCTTACGAATTGGCCTGTTAACCTCAGGGTCAGCAGTTCAAAACTATCAGTGGTTCTGCAGGAGAAAGATGAGGCTTTCTGCTCCCGTGAAGATTTACAGCCTTGGAAGCCCTATATAGGTCACTATGAGTCGGAACCAACTCCACAGCACATAACAACCACCATCACCACCACCACCAGGCTAATGTGTAGGAGTTTGGGTATGGCGCTGTGGGTTAATGCATCAGACTGCAAAGCCATTTGAACTGCACGGTTGGTAGTTGAAGCTCACCAGCTGCTCCTCGGAACCCTATACAGGGTCCCTATGGGTAGGAACCAACTCAGCAGCACTTAACAACAACAGCAACAAGGCTAATGCGTTAGACTGCAAAGTTGTTTGAACCACAAGGTCGATGGTTCAAGCTCACCAGCTGCTCCTTGGAAACCCTATTCAGTGTCGCTATGAGTCGGAATCGATTTGACGGCACTTAACAACAACCACAAGTCCCCCATCGCCCCCATATTGTGAAACAACAAATTGATCTTCCTTAAAAGTGTCTCCTTTCTGGTACTTTTTTGTGACAGCCCTAAAAACGAAGACACTTTCTCTACTTTGTTCCAAATAATTCATTTGGGCAACTAGCAAAATGCAAAACAGATAAAAATAAAAACTCAGTGAGGGCTGGAACTCTTATCATTTCTGTATTTAGTACCAAATGAAGCTGATACATGACAAATAGGAACCATTTATGAGAATGAGCCAGCAGCATTAAAACAGATAGTTTAGCAAAAGGGGTTTCTAAACAATTGAACCATTAAATAACATTCATATAAATGGAGAAAAGATTGAAGTTGTCAAAGACTTCATTTTGCTCAGATCAACCATCAACACTCCTAGAAGCAGCAGTCAAGAAAGCAAATGACATATTGTATATGGCAAATGTGCTGCAGGAAACCTCTTTAAAATGTAGAAGAGCAAAGGTGTCAGTTTGAGGACTAAGGTGCGCCTGACCTAAGCCATGGACAGTGAATAGGAAGAATAAGGAAGACGGTAGAAGAATTGTTGCATTTGAGTTATGGTGTTGGAGAAGGTTATTAAATGTCTCATGGACTGCCAAAAGAGCAAACCAATATTTGCTGGAACAAGTACAGCCAGAGTGCTCCTTGGAAACCAGGGTGGCCAAACTTCATTCATCTCTCTCATACTTCGACATATTGTCAGGAGGGACCCGTCCTTGGAGAAGGATATCATGTTTCATAAAATGGAGGGTCAGAGAAAACGAGGAATACCCCCAACGAAATGGGCTGGCACAGTGGACAGCACTGATGGGCTCAAATGTAACAAGGATTGTGAGGTTGTTGCAGTTTCTGGTTCTGTTTTGCATAGGGTCGCTTTGAGTCGAGTCGGGCTAACTACTCAATGGCACCTAACAATGATAAGCAATTAAGGGGAAAGCAGGAAAAAACTGAATTAGTTTCCATTGTCTAATAAAAATCTATTAAGATCCTTGGAGGAGAGTTCCCTTTGTAGATTTTAACTTCTAGGAAAATGAATGAACCCTTCCATAATGTCTTTGTTCTTGTTAAGTGCTGTAGAGTAGGTTCTGACTCACAGCGATTGTGTATAGGGCTTCCAAGGAGAGGCTGGTGTGTTTGAACAGGTGATCCTGTGATTAGTAACTCAGTGTTTATAACATCGCGCCACACCAGGACCCCAGAGTGGCCTGATTTTTGTTGTTAAGTGCCCTCGAGTGGGTTCCGACTCATAGAACGATATTAAAAATTGAAAGTAATTAAAACCATAGACTAGATCTTGGCTGTTACTTAGCTTTTCTGCACCATAAAAAGTTTCAATAAAAATTAACCCTCTCAAATAAATAAATAAATAAATAAAATAACCCTCTCCTCATTTGAGACGTCTTCCAATAATCATTTACTTTCTTTCTCCCCCTTCAGGATTTTGATGCCATTTGCTATTAAATAGCAAGCAAAAGCGTCCTCCACATCGTTTGGGGCAGATGCCATAAATAAATCAGCTAAAGTGTCTGATTGAACGTAAACAGGCTCTCTCTCGGAGATAATGAATGTCTAGTAATTAGGGCTTCCTTGGACTCAATCCAACTCTCTCCCTCCCTAGTGGCGCGCACCGGTCTCCAAGCAGCGCATCTAAGGAGTGGTCAGGCTTCCGCGGAGAGGAATGGGTCTCTTCCCTTCACAGCGCTGGGGATTGCGTAAGCTGAGCCTATTTTGGTTTTGTTGGCGTTTTTGGAGGGGAGAAGCCAGCGGGGTGAGAGGCGCCCAATGCGCCCCAGGTCCCATCTCAGCCCTTGGGAGCGCGCCGGGGCTCGAGCGGGGAACCGACTGCGGAGTAACCGCTCGAGTAACGGCCTCGCTCCGCGGAGCCTCCATCGCAGCACAGATCGGGCTGGGGGGGCGGTGGGTGGGCGCCGGGCCTCCCCGCCGACCCAGCGCAGCAGGTGGACGCGGCAGAGCTGCAGGGCCCGCGGGCATCCACCCCCGCCGCCCGGGATTCCCAGGGAGCCCACCTCAGGAGCGAGATTCGCGGAGCCCCCCAGCCGCTTCTCCCCTGACTCGGCCTCCACCCTCACCTGGCCCCGACTGTTCAAGCCTTTGGGTCGCAAAAGCTAGGGGTTCGGCCCGGGAAATCCCAACCGGGGGCTGGGGTGGGGGGCGGGGGGTGAAGCAGAATGCCTCGGATTCCTCACACCAGCTCCAGAGCAGAGGGTAGCGGAAAGGTGGTCCGCAGTTCACGCACCTGTCCTGCGGGCTCCTTTCCGGCAGTGGCAGCTCAGATGTCCGAGTCGCTGCCACTCGGTCCCCACGTCTCCCAGACCAATCCCGCCGGCGGCCGCCCAGCAGCGACTGCTAACGGCGCATGCGCGTGCGGCCGCGGGAGGGGAAGAGGCGGTGGCCGGAGGCACGAGCTGCGCGCACCTGCACCGAGGGGCTCAACCGCCGCGGAGGGGCGCAGCGCTGCGAGCCCTGTGTTGCCGCTGCTCTGCAGCCACTGATGCCGCTGCCTTCTCCGCTCTAAAGCGCGCTCTCCCGGCCTCCGGCGCGCCGTGGTACCCTGGTCCTCCTGTCTTGGCGAGAACCGGGATCCCGAGGAATCAGAAAAGGGATCGTCATCATTAGTTCCAATATTTTTCCTCCCTTGGAGCGCCTGCTCTCCCTGCAACGCTACCTATTACACAATGTTGTTGTTAAGTCCCGTCAAGTCGGTTCCGACCCATAACGACCCTGTACAGGGTTTCCGAGGAGCGACTGGTGAGCTTGAACCGTCGACCTTGCAATTCAAAGGGCTTTGCAGTCTGGCGCATTAACCCACAGCGCCACACCAGGACTCTTATTACGCAATAGACCTATATATTACACTATAATTCTGTGTAAATTAAGTTTTATAACAACGTCCACATATAGGTGTAGAAAAATAATTGGCCTAGGCTTTTCCTGATCGTGGTCAACAATGTTCCGTGTTTCCTTTATGTCGAGGTCCTGGTGTGGCATGGCGGTGTAGGATAAGCACTGGACTGTTAACCTAGATCGGTGATTCAAACCCATCAGCCGATCCTTGAATACCCTATGCAGGGTCACTATGAGTCTGAACCGACTTGACGGGACTTAACAACAACAGCAACCACAAATGTAATGTGTATAAAGAGAACTGGAAGTTCAGCAGTTCAAGCCCACCAGCTGTTCCGTGGGAGAAAGAGACAATCTACTACTGCTGCCACTTGCATATAAAAATGATGACTTTGGAAACCCTGTGAAGGCGTTTTCCTCTGCCTGTCAGGTCCCTATGAGTCTGGATCCGCTTAAGCAATGGGTTTGTTTTTAGATATATAAACATCTCACACATAATATGTAATTTGTTGTTGCTGTTAAGTGCCGTCAAGTCCACTCCAACTCATAGTGACCCTGTACAGGATTTTCCAAAGGCTGCTAGTAGGTTTGAATCGCCGCCTTTCAGTCAACATGTATATCTTTTTTTTTTCACCCTTTCTGATAGAAATCCTTGGAAGGTCCCAAGGTGATGTAACTGGTTTGTACTGCAACAGGTTAGAGAATCAGTCCACTCATTGATACTGTGTAAGAAAAGGCCTGGTGATTTGCGTCTGTCACTATTACAACCAAGGAAATTCTTTGGAGCAGTTCTAACTCTGTAGCACATACAGGGTTACTATAAGTTGGAACCAACTGAAAGACAACTCTTTGGATGTTTGCTTTCTTCCTGACAGTACTATTAATAAGAATTGCTAACAGTTACTGTTCTCACCATACTTTGAGTTTATATTCTTTATCTCAATTAATCTTCAAACAACCCAAGTGAGAAAACTAAAAATAGCCTGTCTGAGCTGAAACAGCTTGTAGTTGCAGAGTCAGTTCCGTAGACCTTGCGGTTCAAACCGATCTTGTAGCCCAGTGCATTAACCCACAGCGCCACACCAGGACTCTGCCCTGACAACTGTTGTTGTTAAGTGCCGTCAAGTTGTAGTGACCCTGTATAGGGTTTCCAAGGAAAGGCTGGTGAACTTGAACTGCCGACTTTGCGGTTTAAACCGACATTTGTAGTCCAGTGCATTAACCCACAGCGCCACACCAGGACTTTGGGGGTGGTGGTTATGTGCCGTGGAGTAGCCACCCTGTATAGGGTTTCCGAAATTTTAAATCTTAAAAGCAGGAAGCCTCCTCTTTCTCCGGAAGAACCACTGGTAGTTTTGAACTGCTGACCTTGAAGTTAGCAGCCCTACTCGTAACCACTATGCTACAATAGCCCCTTCTCTAGCAGGATTAAAATCCAGTCCTGTATCAGAACCTGCAGTTTTAACAAGTACACTAAAAATACAGCATAAACATAGTATTGAATCACAAGTTTCTTTGTCCCAAAGAGGATGCCTCATGGAAGCTTTTAGTACTTATATTTTATATTCAAGCTTAAATATGTATTTTGGTATCATAATTTAAACTTTACTGCAAAGAATAAAATACTTAATTCGTCTGTGAGTCTGAATCACAACTGTTGAAAAATCTTAGGTGAAAGGACAGATAGCTCTCCATGCACAATTTGTGATTATTGGCTATACATAAAATTAATGAACATTTTTAATATTACATTATTGTTGTTAAGTGCCTTCAAGTTGGTTCCAGCTCACAGAGACCCTATATAGAATTTTTGAGGCTTTTAAAATCTTTGTAGGAACAGAAAGCCTCACCTTTCTCCCACAGAGCAGCTGGCAGGCTTGAATCTTGGACGTGTGATTCGCAGTCCAGTGTTTATCACAAGATAAAGTGATATCAACATTGTAGTATATAACAACAATGTGGTATTAGGAGTCTTAGCAATCCCTAATACTACATTGTTGTTGTTAAGTGCTGTTGAGTTGGTTCTGACTCATAGCGATCCTGTATAGGAATTCCAAGGAGCAGCTGGTGAGCTTGAACTGCCGATCTTGTAGTTCAAAATAACCTTGCACTCCAGTGCATTATCCTGCAGCGCCGCTAAGCTCTGCCATATCTGGAGAGAGTTTAATTTGTAGAAAAAGAAAAAAATTACCTCTTCTGTGCTGTTTCCATTTCTCTAGTTCAGATTCTCACTGCTTAGAAATTGCTACCAAGTGTTGCCTAACTAGTTGTCCGTATATCACAGGTTCCTGTATCTACATTTTGTACTTTCATCCTTAGATTATTCAAAAGCCTCCAATGAGCCTTCATTACCTAAACAATCAACTCTAATTGCTTACCCTGAAGTTCATTAGGCAAATCTGCTGCAAAAGACCTCTTCAAAGTGTTAAAAAGCAAACATGTCACAGTGAGGACTAAGATGTGCCTGACCCAAGTCATAGTATTTTCAGAAAAGACTTACTCTTGAGTGTAGAGAAGCTAAAATAAATGGAAGAAGTGAGGAAATAAAAAAGCTGAACGGAAAATTTGAAGGGGCAACTTGAAAAGACAAAGTCAAGTATTATAATTATGTGCAAAGACCTAGAGTTAGAAAACCAAAAGGGAAAAACATGCTCAGCATTTCTCTGCTGAAAAACTGAAGAAAAACTCAAGC